CGCGGCCGCCCTCGGGCTGCACCATCTTCCTGGGCTTCACCTCCAACCTCATCAGCTCCGGTGTCCGTGAGAGCATCCGCTACCTGGTGCAGCGCAACATGGTGCGGGGGCAGCCCGGGGGGCCGGGGTCCGCCGGAGCCCCCAGGCCCTCGCGGGGTCCCCGGGGGATGCAGAGCTCCCGGGGCGTCCCTGAGCTCCCCAGCCTTGCCCCCGAGCTGTGCCTCGGGTCCCTGCGGGGTCCGGGGGGGTCCCGGCTTGGTCCCCTGAGGGGGGACCCCCTGAGGTGCCCCTGGGGTCCCTGCGGGGTCCCAGCTCGGTCCCTGGGGTCCCGGCGCTCTCCGCCTGGCACCCACGAGGTCCCAGCCCTGTCCCCGAGGGGTCCCTCAGGGCCTCTGCGTCCCCAGTTTGCTCTCTGGGGTGTCTGGGAAGGTCCTGGGGGGCTCGGCCCTGTCCCCGCGGGGTCCCCGGGGTCGTCCCCGGGGGTCCTGATGCCCGTCCCCGCCCGGCGCAGGTGGACGTGCTGGTGACCACGGCGGGGGGCGTGGAGGAGGATCTCATCAAGTGCCTGGCGCCCACCTACATCGGGGACTTCAGCCTGCGGGGCCAGGACCTGCGCCAGAGCGGCATCAACAGGTACGGGGCGCCGGGGTCCCCTCCCCGGCGCTGGGGTCCCCTCCCTGGCACCGGGGTCTCCTCCTGGGCGCCAGGGTCCCTCCCCAGCACCGGCGTCCCCTCCCGGGCGCCAGGGTCCCCTCCCCGGCGCTCGGGTCCCCTCCCTGGCACCGGGGTTTCCTCCTGGGCGCCAGGGTCCCTTCCCGCACTGGGGTCCCCTCCCCGGCTGAGCCCGTCCCCTCCTCCCCAGGATCGGGAACCTGCTGGTGCCCAACGACAACTACTGCAAGTTTGAGGACTGGCTGATGCCCATCCTGGAGAAGATGGTGGACGAGCAGGAAACGCAGGTGGGGCGCGGCCGGCGCGGGCGCCCGGGTCCTGCCCGGCTCGGGGTGGGGGCCCGGGGGGCCGGGTCCTCCCCGGCCGGGGGTCCTGAGCGTGGCGGGGCGGCCGGGGGGCAGG